GAGTCAACCCTGAGCCAGTGAGATTTGAACCGCTGACCTGCTGATCTAGCAGTAGCCTGCAGTGCTGCATTTAACCACTGCGCCACCTTGGCTTTCAACAATGGAAGGTTTGACACATCCGAATATTAGTAATATGAGAAACATTATCAGATATAAAGATATTCTGTCAGAAAGGGGAGAACTAAAACAGAAAAAAGAACTAGAAGAAACAAGGGATTGATATAGGGTACATACACAAATGCAAATAAAATCAAGATATGAAAATGGTTTTAACTTGGGAAGCTCAGAATTGGATAGGATACTTATGGGAACAGATGAAAAAATGATTAAGTAACTATATAGCTATTTACTTAGAATTAAATTAGAGGAAGAAGTAAAAAAAACAATGATAGTATGGGCAAAAAACTTTGGTTATACGATTGAATTAGAACAATGGCAACAACTATGGGAAAGGAACTACAAATTAACAATGGCAACAGCATATAAAGAAAATTTGCATAAAATGTTTTATAGATGGCATATGTTACCCGAAAAATTAGCAAAAATGTACAAAGACAAATCAACTAAATGTTGGAAATGTCACCAACTACCAGGATCATATTATCATATGTGGTGGACATGTAGGGAAGCAAGAAGTTATTGGGTTAAAATACAAACATGGTTAGAGAAAATGCTACACTGACGAGCTGAGGAGCAGAGGTATTTTTATTGGGTATCCTACCAGAGAAATGTAGTAAAGAAGACACATATTCAATCATACATATAACAGCAGCTAGAATGGTATTTGCACAGAATTGGAAAGCAGACAAAATCCTGTCAGAAGGAGAGATAATAAAGAAAATTCTGGACTGTGCAGAAATGAACAGGTTAACTCTGAGAATAAAGGATAAAGAGGAATCGGTGTACTTCAGGACATGGAGGCAATTTTATGATTAGTTACAAAAGGAAAGTGAATAAAAGATTACAGATTAAGTAACCCAGACGACACACTATTAAATAAAGGGAGGGGAAGAGAAAAAAAGAAAAGTATTAATATAAAAATATACCAGTGGTGCAGGGATGTGCAGTCACTAGAGGCAAGGGAGGCGGAGCCTCACCAGTCTCCTCAGGAAAAAGAAAGAAATT